TGATAGGGCTAAGGTGCAGAGTGCCTGCTCCCTAAGGGCGTGGGCCCAATCGGGTATGATCGCCTCGATCAGCCGCAATCAATAATTTCCGGAAACCCTGGAAGCAATTTTCAAGCAATCGGGGGCAATCAGCTGATCGCGATCAACTGATCGCCCAAACTCAATCAGACCCAATTTTAACCCCGATCAGAGTCAATTTTCCTCGATCACATACGATCAATTGATCACTACTGATCGGGGCCAAAGCGACGCTTGCGAAACGTTACTTTGTATTACTAGGTCTCGTCAACTCCTCACGAATTGGTGAAAGGTTCCGCGGAAAACGACAAGTGCGGAGTGGGATTGACGATATTACAGGGATACAAATATTTTCGCTAGGTTCCGTCTGCTCGCAATTCTCGCTAAAACTGGGCAGAAAATGCCTGGTAATTGGACACCGCTTGCTGCGCAGACGACGCGAATGTTCTACGAAATATTCCGCTGATCGGGCGGCTGAGGCAATGTGATCACAAGCAACCCGATCAGACCCGACCCGATCTGATCATTCGCGATCAAACCCGATTGGGCCTACGCCCTAACTTCTGCAAACTTGATGCCTCTTTCACGTCATCATGTTTAACCCAATTAACACCAACCGAACAAGGCAGCCCGCTTTTTCGAATGTGCACTGCATGAGCAGTCTGACTTCGACAAAGATCATCATGTTTCCGAGCCGGCGTCTGCACTAGGGCGGTTAAACATGCTTTAACGCCAACCGAACAATACCATAGTTAAGCCAAAAAAATGTATTCAGTACAGTTCCAAGAATTGTCATGCGATCTGATAAGTAATTAGCCATATTTTCCGTGGTGGGGGTGGAAAGAGCCTGGATAGGATCTGTCATCAGAGTCGATATTGTATAAGAAACAGATACACATAACACAGAAACGGAACAGAACACCATAGGAAAAGTGAGTGAAGACGAAAAGAGAGTGATCAAGGGGAAGAAAAGGGAGGTGGAGTGAAAGTATAGCCGCCGAAAGATCACAATGGCACGACACGTGGGGAAACCTCATCAAGACGCCCCATCAAGACACCCCATCAAGACATCCCAACAAGACGCCCCATTAAAACACCCCATCTAAAAATCTCTCACCCCCAATCCATTGCCAAAACCCGCATATCCACCAAGTCGGGCGCATCCGCCCACGGAGCATCCCACTCAATATCCTCCTCGATATCTTCCCACTCCACCCAAACAACGTATGGGCCTCTCATCATCGACGCCGCGCGTAATAAGATCACATGATGCTCCACGTATGGGCCTGTTCATGGTGCTGTGCTGACAGAGTCATAGGGTCTACATCGCTAACCTCCAGCGAATGTTCCTCCCCCTCCCTCAATCCCCAAACCGCTACATATATTTTTTTGTCCACAGCAACGTGTCATCCTATATACTCAGAACCCCATCCGGCCATTTAGCTATCTTCGCACTACGAAATTAACCGCGTCGTGAACCCGACAAGGTGCATACCGATGCTTGCAACAGAGGTTATGATGGGGATCAGAAGGACCAACGAACTCTACCCTACATGCGCACTTGCCAGCGACTATCAGCTACCTAGGCGCGTGGCCGTACAGATGCTCCACTCGGCTGCGGTGAAGGTAGCCTCGTCATGCAATGGAACGGGAGAAACCCATGTCAACATATATGTTTATAATCGTCTAGGCTATATTGGGGATAGCTCTAGGGGGTACAAAATTCTCTCGATACCCTAGTCTTGTACTCTCACCCTCCTACCCATTACACATCATTCCCCTTAATCTCAACAACCCACACCCTCGCCCTCGAGCCCTGAAGGGATGTCAAACGGGGCAAGGTGGCATCGTCATTGGCCATGCATCGAAAATACTTCGTTCCTTCCGCCCCGAACAGAAGATCCGCCAAGGTGCCCATGCGTCGTGCTGAATTTATCATTCCAATCGCAGATTTGACCGCCAAGCAGTGCTCTAGTGTCTCCGTTCCTCGGCAGTGCGGGCACGAAACCCCACCTCCCAGAAAGTACACCCTCTCCCCAACCTGCAGGTTGAGGCTGTGCACGCGGAGCAACATATCACGTACCCTGATCTGGACCGCCGGGGAATCTCTGATGCGCCTCCCCCGATCCCACTCAATCTTTCCTCTGCCCGAGCTTCTCATGTTGCTATCTTTTCTTCAACCGCCTCTAGCCCCTTGCTCGGCTTCCTGAGCTTTCTCAGCGGCACCACTCATGCCCGTGATGACGTGTCCTGCAACGGATCCCATCGTCGACCCCGATAATATTCCGAGCCATCGGATTCACCACCTCTAGGGATCTCGGATGGTCGAATTTCTCATTCGTTGGAAAGAGCGCGGCAGTATCCAAAATAACCCTATCCTCCAAGTGTAAGAAAGCATTGAACAGTTGATTCGAATAAGCATTGATTCCCATTTTCTCTGAAGAAAGCATTATGCTTGGTGGGTTGTTTCAGTTGATTGAACACGGTGTCATGGATTCCCTCTAAGCCTCACTACTACAATTGTTTTCTGGTCCACTGTTTCAGACTCGTTATTGGTGACTTGACCAGTTCATGGAATCCTCCTTTTACGCTCAAGGACGATTGGTGATTTGGCTGACGGCGAGCTGAGCTGACCCTGTTGGCTGGGGAATACATTCGTGCTGCTGATGTGGCTCAACACCTCCCCGATACACCCTATTCGCGATAATTGCACACCCCTTACCCTCTTTTTTGAAGGTGCCCTATACCGATTCAGGCTCGATACGACGGACACCCTGAAACTCAGGGACTATCAGTCGACAGCGAAATGCAGTTTCCCTTGAAACAACACCATGTGTTCCGAGTGAGGACGGGGTTGGGTAGACGCGACTGAAGTTTTTAATGCTTACATCTATTCGCGACTGGGTTTCGGAACGCCCACCAGCTATTCAACAATCGCAGCGAACTACCCTGCAAGGAAGTTTGTATCCAGGGGCAGCTGAGCACGCGTTTCGGCTTTGGGGTGGTCGGTCGCTCCGCGGGACCGCGAAGTGGGTCGCGACGTGCAATCGTGATGGACGACGTACAAGCTGGTTACTTCTTGCTGCGACGTAACTTCTGTTCACCAGGGCGGCATCCCAAACCCCACAAGGTGGGTGCCGATGTTTCTCGCGTACGCTTCGCTGATTCTACACGGCTTCGCCTGTGGAGAATGTGGTAACCCCTCATGCACAATTGCCCCATCAATTCCACCAACATATGTGGGGGTGTGTTCGTGCTGATTGATGGGATAGCGGCTCGGCATTGCAATTCCACTTTTCGCCCGCAAGAGCACACATCTCGCTTTCAGCGATCTGCCACATTGCATCACGCCTGCACATGAACCTAGCTTGATGCACACTCAGCTCAAGCCTCACGAACCTCACCTTTCCATCACCCCCTCACATTTTATGCCGCCATTGCGTACTGGTTGAAGTTTTTAGCAACATTTCAACTAGGACCACGCGTGCAACTGGGCTCGAGAACAAGCTTTTTCGACACTAATCGATCTCAACACTTTTGATTTCGCTCGAGGATTCGCTCGGCCAAACTTATCACACTCTGATGCCGACGTAGCTTGTCCCTCTTTAGTTGAAGCATTTGTGAGCTAGTTTCTGGAACACTACTCGATCTCAGCACTTCTGATTTCATTGTGAGGGGTTTTTTGGCCTCACTTATCACTTTCTAATGCCGATCTAGCCTTTACCTGCCGAACCCCCCTGGAGCATTCGCAAGCAGCAAGCCATGGGTGTGTTGCAGCGCACACTCGCACGGAATGGCTTTGCCACACTGCAGCTTCTGCTCCTTCTTCCCCTCATCCTCCTCTTGAACCCACAAGGTAGTTACGCTGTAAGAGATCCATGACGCTCAAATACATGCTCATCACTTCCTGTTACAACGTCAGCTACGCCTGAGCGCGCTGCATGAATGTCCGAACCTCGCAAGCCCCTCCCACGCCAGGCCCTCCTAAATCATTCCTTTGTCCCCATGATTTGTCACATGCAGCATTTGCGACGCGCTATTTCGCCCCGTCCGTGCCGGCATGTATATACGACTTTGACATCGGGAGATTCGAGCTGGATCCGTTTTGGAGCACCGGGTGCGCCCACACTCTACCCTCTTCCGTGCTCTTCTTCCTTCTTTCTACTGCAATATTGTTTCCCTTCTCCTCCGCGAACTTGCGTCTTTTCCAGAAAGGCTCGTCTCTTCACTTCCGCTCCACATCCATATTATTTCAGTTCGTTCCAAAGTCTACGCTTGCGAGTGCAAATCCTCCCCTACTCCTCACAAATACACCGCACACCACGCCACACACTACGCCACCTATCCTTCACAATAAAGCTGTACACTCGCGGGGCCATCGCGCATGCGTCCTCTCTTTCCCCTCCTCTCAGTCGATCATTAGAGCCGTGGGACGCATGGGCGCCAGCGGACGGCGCGCTAGCCATGAACAACAACTGCGCGTACCTGCTCGACTCGCACTGCCGGGTACACCTATCAAGTAAGCACCTCAATGCATCCTCCACGTGTCAGTCGGATCACGCACGTGTGAGCCTGTGGGGAGCGCTATGCCCGTGTAAATGTTCCCTCTATTGTTTTTATCGGTATTCGTTCCTCACCTCGCTCCGCCTCCCTTTCTCCTGCATCCCTCACTCGCTGCATCCCTCACTCCCCCGCGCCTCCACTCCCCTCCCCGCGCGACCACCGCAGACCCCTGCACCTCGTACAAGCGCTGCGATCCCTCGCCGCAGTGGGCTGCAAACGTTGTCGTCACGCGCACGACCAACTCCACCGTGCGACCCGTTCCCGCCAAGCCTCCGAGCGGCTCGGCTCTGGCAACCAGTCTTAACAGCGCGGACGCGGGCTTTAAACCCGTGCTAGTGAGCAGCACGGCTAACGTGCGAACAGCAACATCCGGGGCCGTGGAAACGGTGCTAGAAGTGACGGAGTTGATCCCGGCGTGGATGGCGCAAGGCCGCGCTAAGGTAGCGGGCGGGAGCGAGTCGCCGCGGAAGGAAAGCGCGGAAGGAGATAATGGGAACCGTGGGGAGAAGCGCGGGGGAGGGGCCGTATACGTGGGGAGTGAAGCTCGAGTGGACCGGGGGCTGATGGAAGCTGGAGCGGGGAAAAACGATTATGGTTATGATTATTATGGTGGCGGCAATGGCAATCCGATGGCTGACGTGGACATGACGAAAGAAGCGGAACAGCCTATTCTGCTCTCCACCTATGTTGCCGCGATCAACGGAGGCGGGGCTTCCCCCAGGTGGGAGATACTGCGGGGCACGCGCAGACAGGGGGGGTTGGCGCAAGAACACGGCGCGCGGTGGGAGGCGCGCAGGTCGCTAGCGCGGAAGGGGAGGTTGGCGCAGCGGACTACGGCGGTGAGGACCGCACGGTAGGTGGGTATCACGCGGGGGGGGACGACACGGGGCTTGTGGCGGCGGAAGTGCCGCAAGCTGCTCTGGACGGCGACGGCGACGGCGATGACGACGGCGATGGCGGGTTTGGAATCGGCCAAGGGAATGTAGCCGGCACCCTTGGGAATACCGATGGATTTCAGCACGGAGAGCAGGAGGAGCAGGCGGGGGAGCGGGTGCAGGGGGAACAGTTCGGGGATGTGAGCGACGCGGCCGCCGTGCGAACCTCGTCCACGTTCGCGCCCAACCCCCGCCGAAGCGGCACCAGCTTAGGCACGGTGCATCCCAGGCCTAACTTCCGCGCCAAGCCGCTGCTGGGGAGCAAGGGTGGTCGGGTGGGCGCATCAACCGGTTCGACCGTTGGTTCGTTGACTGCTCCGAGTGATGTTAACTCCGCCGCGCCGAGCCGCAAGCAGGAGCAGCAGTCGCAGCCGCAGAAGCAAACAGCCGTCCCTTCGCCCTCACCCTCCCCACCGAAATCCACCGACCCCGCATCCTACCTCCCCAAACGCCTCCCGCCGAAAAATCCGGATGATCCTCTTGGCAGCGAGCCCGATTTTTCTCTTCCCTCCACTCCCGCGTCCCCCGCGCCTCCCGCCGCAACTCCCGCTCCACCGGTGACCCCACCACGCACGCCTTCCCCCGCGCCGCCGTCGCGCCCTGTCCGGGCACCGGAGGGAAGAGGGGGAAATGCATCGGTGGATCCTGATTTGGGGTTCAACGACTCTCCGCCGGTCCCGCAAAGAGCGCCGTCAAACCCGCCGCAAACCGCGCCAAACGCAACCTCCCCCAAGCGCAATGCCCCGCAGAACGTCCCACGCATTCCGCCCCGTCCCACCACCACGTCCCCTTCCCGTTCCGCCTCAACTTCTCCCTCTCCCCGCGTCCCCTCCTCGTCGTCGTCCCCGTCGCGCCGTCCCCCTATGGTGCTACGCGTTACCGTTACAAGGGTGGTCGCGGCGGGAGTCACGGCGTACGAGTGCGAACCGTTCCCCGCGTGCCTCTTCAAAACGCCGACTTGCGCGGCGCGCGCGCAATCCGCCCCGACGCAGGCCTCCGCGGCCTCCGCAGACCCAGCGGAAGTAGAGGCGGAATCGGAAGCAGAGGCGGAAGAGGAAATCCCCGCGGAAAAGGATACTTCCGCAGAAGCGGAGGATGCGGGGGAAAGAGAGCGGCTGGACGGTCACACTAACGAGGTCTCGTACGGTTGGCTCGACGAAGCTGGATTAATCAGCAAAGACGACGCCGGCGGCAATCCCGGTGTGACGGTCCAGAACGTTGAGAATGCTGCCGGCGGTCACGGCGCTGATCCCGAGGGAACTGGGGATGCGGATGGCGTGAAGTGGGTGCCAGTATCGGATTATATTCCTGGTATCGGGGAAGTTAAAAACGACGACTATGGCAGCAGCGGCGGCAGCGGCGGTGAAGGCGGAGGCGGCGGTGGGCTGAGTGGCATGGGGCGACGAGCAGGACGGTCCATAGCTGTTGCTGCGTCCTACTCTCCCATCTCTCCCGCATCTCCTGCCCTCTCTGCCTCTCTTCCGTCGGTTGCCGCCGCTTCTGGCGGCAGTAACCGCGACAAAGACGACGACGAGGATGGTGATGATGATGGCACTGGCGGTGAGGGGGAGGAGGACGAGTTCGGGTGGAGGGGCGAGAACGGCCAGGGGATTGTGTCCTTCTTGGCTCTCCGCAAGGGGACCGCCTTCCGCGCCCGCACCAACCCGGATGCGCTTTCCCCAGATGCCCCCTCAATCTCCTCCTCTTCCGCTGCTGCCGCCGCTCCGCGGGAGTTCGGCGTGCAAGCGTCGTCCGTGGCTGCTCCTGCCAGCCCTGCGCCTGACCAGTCCGAACCGTTTAGCCCGCACACGCAGGACCCTGCCTCCTCAGCCCCTCTAGCTACCTTCAAATCTGACTCGCAGTCTAATACTGATTCCTACTCTCACTCTACTGCTCATTCTGGTGCCGGCTCTGGCGCCGACTCTGGCGCCGACTCTGGCGCCGACTCTGGCGCCGACTCTGGCGTTGACTCTGGCGCCGACTCTGGCGTTGACTCTGGCGCCGACTCTGGCGTTGACTCTGGCGCCGACTCTGGCGTTGACTCTGGCGCTGACTCTGGCGTTGACAGCCCCTCGGATGCTGACTTTGGTGCCAATTATAATGCTGACTCGAGTGGTGACTCAGACTCCCAGCAGCCTTACGATACCCAGGATGAATCTAACGCGTACAGCCCTTCTAACCCTGACAGTGCTCCTGATGTTAACACCCCTCCAGATGAATCAGCACCCACCGATGCCGATGCTGACCCTGATGCGGGTGCTAATGATGATACCGACGCTGATACTGATGAGAGTACTGATGCCGATGCAGATGCCAATGCTGATCCCAATGCTGATCCCAATGCTGATCCCAATGCTGATCCCAATGCTGATCCCAATGCTGATCCCGATGCTGATCCTGATGCTGATCCCGAAGCTGATCCCGATGCTGATCCCGATGCTGATACTGAGGATAATGCTGATCCCGATGCTGATCCAGCACCACCCAAGTCGTTCTTCACACGCTCGTCGCGACCACCACCATCATCAGCACCGCCATCACTGCCCTCCTCCTCGCCCTCCTCCATGCCATGGCTCTCCTCCCGCTCCACCACCACTCTCGGCTTCAAGCCTCGCCTGCCCACCCCTCGCCCCTCTTCCTCCCCCTCCTCCTCCCCCTCTTCCTCCCCCTCCTCCTCTCCGCCTGCCACCAGCAGTGCCAGCGGCAGCAGCACTGGTAGTGCTGCTGGCAGCAGCAGCAGCAGCAGCAGCAATGGCGGTGGAGGTAGCACCAGCGGGTTCAAGCCCAGAACCGGACCACCAACTGAAAGGCTTCGCAGCGACATAAGCAGCAGCAGCAGCAGCAGCAGGAGCGGCAGCAGCGGTGGCAGCGACAGCGAGAGCAGCCGTACGGAGGAGGGCGGGAGTGCGGCGAGCATGTACAAGTCTAAGATGAAGGCCCGCAAGGTCAACCCCAGCGCCCCTAACCGCGGGGACAGCGGTCACACGTCCCAGCCCAAGCCCCGACCTTCCCCGCCCTCCTCCTCATCGCACTCTCCCTCCCACAACAGCGGCAGCAGCGGTGGCAGCAGCAGTGGGCACAAGATGCAATCGAAACGGCCCAAGCCGTCCCCATCGCCATCCCCGTCCTCTCCGTCGTCTCGCATCCCGCGCACGGGCAACAGCATGCAGCCGTTCTCCCCGGGGAAAGAATCCGACCTGCCCTTCCGCTTCGCGCGCGGCCAAGACTACCTCGTGCCTGTGCCCCACATCCCCCCCGACCGGCAATTCTCGGTGAAGCGGTACGGAGCGGTGGGGGACGGTGAGAGGGACGACACGCGCGCATTCAGAGCGGCGTTTGTGGCGGCGTGCAAGGTGGGGCGGCTGAGTGCGCGGGCGACGTCAGTGGTGGTGCCTGGCGGGCGGTACAACGTGGGGTATCTGCGATTCGTGGGGCCGTGCGGACCCCAACTCGTGTTCCAGGTGAGGGAGGGTGGGAGGGGCGAAGAAAGCAGAGGGGTGATGAGGGTGAGAGAGGAGTGAGGGTGGGAGAACCGCGTGTGCATTCCTTCTGAGAAATTTTCCGGGTGAGGGGCTTGTGAACGGAAGGTTGTTGGGGACTTTCTCTTGGGCTGCCTTCTTATCCTTCTTTGACCGCTTCCCCTTCGCTGCTCTATCTTAACCATGCTTCGCCTCGACCTTCCCTGCTTCCCCCTTCCCTCACATTCACCCCCCTCTTCTCCCCTTCTCCTTCCCCTTTCCCATCCTCCCTTCCTTTTACAACCCCTCCGCCCCAATCAGCTGGACGGCACCATACTCGGTCCACACGACCCCTTCCATCCACCGGAGAAGCAGCACTTCCTGGGCGTCAACGGGCTCCCCTCATCCTCCCCTTCCCCCCATCCACCCTCACCTCCACCCCTCCGTGTTTCCACTCCTTTTCCCCTTTCACCCTCCCATCCTCCTCCCCCCTTTTCATCAGCTGGACGGCACCATACTGGGGCCGCACGACCCCTTCCATCCGCCGGTGTGCAGCTGGGAGTGGTGCACTTCCTGGGCGTCAACGGGCCCCCTCATCCTCCCCTTCCCCCCATCCACCCTCACCCCCACCCCCCCTCCATTCCCCCCACCCCTTTTCCCCTTTCAACCCCCCCCCCCATTCCCCCCATTCATCAGCTGGACGGCACCATACTGGGTCCGCACGACCCCTTCCATCCACCGGTGCAGCTGGGAGTGGTGCACTTCCTGGGCGTCAACGGGCTCATGGTATCAGGCCGCGGCACCATCGACGGCCGCGCGCAGCGCTGGTGGGCGCTGTGGAATGCGCAGCGCCTGCCCGAGTCGCTCAGGCGCCCCTACCTGCTCGTCGCTGACACGTGCCACAACTCGGTCGTGCAGGGGATCACTCTGCGGTGCGTGGGGGTGCAGAGGGGTGCAGAGAGGTGCAGATGGATGCATAGGGGTATGGGTGCCGTGGGACCTCTCTCAGATTGGTGAACCGGAGGGTTTGCAATATTGGAGCTGCCTTTGATAAACCTCCTCGTTCCTCCGTCTCCCCCCGCGTTCCCCTCCCTCTCCCTTGCCTTCCCCCTCCAGCAACCCCGGCACGATCCACCTGGAGATAGCGTCGAGCAACTTCGTGAAGGTGGTGAACGTGACCACGGACAGCCCCTCGGAGAGCCCCAACACCGACTCCATCCACATCACGCGGTCGACACAAGTGGCTGTGCAGCGCTGCACGCTGCATGGAGGTGCGTGCGCGTGGGGGTGTGTGTGTGGGTGGGGGGGGGTGTGTGTGTGTGTGGGTGTGTGTGGGTGGATGGGTGTGTGTGTGGGTGCGCGAGTGTGCGTGCGAGAAAAAGGGGAGGCATGGTGAAGGGCCGGGCTTTCTGGTGATTTGCAGCAGCTATGCCTGAGATCACCTCGCACTGCTCACTCCCCCCATGCCTCCGTGCACCCCCTGCAATCCATACTAGTGCATGTGCATCTCTGCACCTGACCACCACTGTTTACCCAGCACTCTACCCTAATTGCATTGTGTGTGCGTCTCACCCCGGTTGTTCCATGTCGCGACCACCGCAGGCGACGACAACATAGTGATAGAGGACGGCACGTCGCACGTGCTCATCTCCGACACGTGGTGTGTGGCCGGCCATGGCATCAGGTGCGCTAACTGAAAGGGGGCAGCCTATGGGTGAATTGAATCACTGTTAGGGTTTTTTCACAAGCAACACTTGCATGGCTTCTGAGCAAGCATCCCTTTGAGAATGCTCTTTTCTGCTCTTCTCCCTTCCTCCCTCTCTCCCTGCTCGCTTTCCTCTCCCTCTTACCTCTCCCCTCACTCTCGAAACCCTGGCAGCATCGGCAGCCTGGGCGACCACGGGGACACGGCGTGCGTGGCCAACATAACGGTGACGCGCGTGGTGCTCAAGGCGCTGTCGAACGGGCTGCGCATCAAGACGTACCAGGGCGGGTCGGGCAGCGTGCGCGACGTGGTGTATCGCAACGTGTTCATGGTGGATGTGGAGCGACCCATTGTCATTGACCAGGTGAGGGAAGGGAGGGGGGTGTGTGGTGGAGGGAGGGATGGCTGCGGAAATGTGGGTGTGTGTACGGTTCAAGTGGTGTATTGCAACCCATTGTGATTGGCCAGGTGAGGGGGGGCAGAGGAGGAGGGATGTGATGTGGCGCGTCACTGTGGTCATGCACATGCATTTCTATCCGTTCGTCCCTCTGTACACCTCGGTAACTGCTGTATATACGCCTCTGTATCTGCACTGGATGTCGCACCTCTGTATCTGCTGCATATACGTGCATCTCTGCCTCTTACTTAACATGCACATCCCCCTCCACCCCGCAACCCCTCTCCCTCCCCCCCATCACCCCCCTCCGCCAGAGCTACTGCGACAAGCGGCACGTGGACGGCAAGTGCGGGGAAGGTTCCTCCAAGGCGGTGGCAGTCTCAGGAGTCTCCTACAGCAAGATAGTAGGCACGACCAACTCATCTGACCCTGTAGGGATCGTGCTCAACTGCTCGTCGTCAGTGCCGTGCCGCAGCATCTCCCTCCAGGACATTGACCTGCGCTCCTCCTCGTCGCGCTCGCGCCCGCTCGTGCCGCAAGTGAGCAACGTGTTTGGCGCCGTGCGGAACGTGCGTGCGCCGCTGCAGCTGGCGGGGAAGGTGAAGAGCGGGCCTGTGCCAGCGCAGGCAGCCGCCGTGGCTGAGCAGATGGGCGCCATGTGCAGGTGCGGGGGACGGGTGGGGCATTGGGGTGGGGCAGGGGCGTGGAGAAGGGGGGTGGGGAATTCGAGGCAGCAATTGCTTTGTGTCTGTTCCTTCTTTCTTGTTTGTTACCATTGAAACTTCCTCCAGAAAAGGGGTTGACTCGTGCTTGGGGACTGCCTTTGCATTTTATCTTCCCGTATTTTGTTTGCTTCGCGTCTATCTGCTTCCTATGTATCCTTTCCTCCCCATGCCCGCCTCACCGCATTCTTCCCGTTGCTGCGAGCCTATCCTGATGCTGCAGCCCGCCCTAAGAGTGACTTTTGAGTCGACTGAAAAGTCACCTCTACCCTGCAGCCTGCCCCCTACTCCGCCCCTGCTTGTCTCTCGGTGACCTAGTCCGTCTGCGGCAATCCCAACTGCAACCCGCCTCTTCTTCTCCCCCTGCTTGCCTCACGATCGTGACCGCCCCCCTTGACAGACGTGGAGTGTACCGCAAGTGACAAGGCGAGACGGAGGACGAGGAAAAGCCTGGAGATTTCATAGAGCAAGGAGTATCCACACGCATGAGCGTCTGTCACGCTATTTGCAATGCCAGCAGCGGCTGCAGGCGCAGTGGTGGTGGCAGTGGCACATGAACGGAGAAGCAATAGATGCGGCACGCTCACACAAGGAAGGAGCGTCCAGCTATGACCAATTGAGCATGCAGTGCACAGACATGTATCTGAATATACAAACACGCCGCAGCTGCTCTTCCGGAGCAATCACCTGGGAGGTGACCAACCTAGAAGTAAACGAGAGGAGGTCGTTGTGGGATGGGTTGCACTGAGAAGCGGGGAGAAGGGGAATGAAGTACGTGGTAATAACGGCACGTGGGGTATCAGTTACTGCAGGTGCAGCGGCGGCGGCAACGTCTGCGGCGGTGGCAGTGGTGGTGGCGGCAGCAACCGCGAACAAGAGAGTTCGTCCGTTGCAAGCACGCATACAACTGCCTGGGGTTTGAGCCTGGGGGTTTTCCTGATGCTGCAGCATCAGGATGCGAAGTGAGGTGCTGTGGTGCAGCAAGTGACTTCTACTCCACGCAGCAAATAAATTTCTTTTGGGGTCATAACATAAACGCTTGGAACAGACATGAGCTTGCAGCAATGGAATTTGCCTTACGTCTTCTGCCCCCCTGACCAAGGGCCACATCTGATACTCACCTTTTGGTGGGTCATATCCTATCCTATGCTATCCTACATCCAAATGTTTGTGCTGAAAAGTGAACAGACTGTAAATACCAGTGCGTGGAGCCATTGAAGTACGCTCTGATTCTCAACAACAGGCAGATTCAATGGTGCGTGCTAACGATCAGTGCACTCATGGACCCAAAGTAGACAATCATGTGATTGAGAAAGCTTGCTTTCTTGTCCTTATAATTTGGCATCGTTCTCATTGCAACTGGCTTATTAAAACACATGCTAGTACATACAAATATTACTAGCTATAGAGTCGTCCGTCCAAGCAGCAGTGGTCTTGTAGTTGGTCCGGGGTGGGTGGTGGGGATGTTGATTGAGCCGTTGGAAAACGAGAAACGTGGGTGGAGGGAATGAACTCCAACCCACGGTTTTTGTAGTTGGAGAAGGGCGTTTAGCGCGCTTCGACGCTGCCAAATATTCGGTACAGGCAGCTTCGCTTTCACAATACACAATTTTGAAAAACATCAATGTGTTTAAAAATTATAATATTGAGAAAGCTTGCTTTCTTGTCCTTATAATTTGGCATCGTTCTCATTGCAACTGGGGCCTCTGAGACATGGGCAGTGGTGGCTTCCGGTTGCGTAAGAGTGCCTCCGCGTGCTGTTCTGGGGGCAGTGCGTATGTCGGGTCCTGTAGGTCGCGGGATGCCTTGATAAGATGTCCGACGTATGGTGTCACGTACATCTCTCTGGCTGTGTCACTTCGCCACCTGCCCATCCTTTTGAAGATCCTGTCCGGAACGCCGATGTTGGCTGCTACGGTTGCCGCGCCCTTTCGGAAGGAGTGCGTGCCGAGCTGCTGCTCCCCAAGTCCAACTTTTGCGAATGCTTCTTTACACCAGTTCCGGATCGTTGTGTACGAGGGTGGCTTGGCATGGCCCTTGTTGGCTGAAGCGTGGCCAAAAACGCGAATCAGCGACCCTTCTGAATGCGGGCCATAGCCTGCGAGTTGGATGAAGCGTTGGGTGCAGCGCACTGGGCAACAGGGGTCCGTCGTTGCTGCGATGGGGATCCAAGTTCCACGACCAGCCTGGTCCGTTTTGGAGTGTGGGATGAGGATCCACATGACTTCGTCGTCGAATTGGATGTCTTGCCACTTGATGGCAACCAGGTCGGAGTATCGCAAAAATCCGGAGTACATGAGGATAGGGATCAACCCCTTCTGAAATTCAGCAGGATTGGCCGACTGCAAGTAGTTCGCGGACATGTCCCGAACTTGTTGGATTGATACAGGCTCCTTCAAACGACTAGGGCGAGGGCAGTGTCGTTTCGCGTAGTCCCGCACTTGGGTGGTGAACGGTCCGACAGTCGGGCATTTGCTTCCAGTCATGCGATGGGCGAAGCTGACTGCCGAGCACGTGAGCTGTACTACAGACAAGGTTGCTTTGCGTTGGATTGCATGCACCAAGTATAGCGCGAGGGCCATGTCGGACGCGGGAAGAAAGGGAAGATCCACCTTTGTGCAGAAGGCCCGAAACTTGGTCCAGTACGGTTCGTATGTACGGATCGTCGAATTCGCTCGCGATTGTGTGAGCATGTTGATGAGTTGGTTGTGTAGCTTTGGTAGCAGATCTGGACACAAGGCACGTACGCTCTCAATTAGTCGAATACCACCCGAAGTGCGATCATTGGGCTGTGTGGTAACCCGGTGCCTGAAAAAAGCAGTGGAATGTGTTCCCGCTGCCAGGCATTGGCTGCCGTGTGTCAAGGGAATGTGCGCGTGGATGTACGGTGCCCAGTTTCGTGGGGAAGGTTGTATGAGTGGCCACCAGTTTGCACCCGGCCAGTGTGGGATGATCAGTGTGAGCGATGCATGGGTGCGTTGTGCGTGATGGAGGACGGCCGGTACTAAGTGGGGCGGGGGGAAAGCAAAGCTATTTTCTGCTGTCCAAGCGAGCGAGAATGCGTCTACTGCGATGGCTTGTGGGTGAGGAATTTTCGTGCAGAAGCGTTGCAGCTGAGAGTTGCGGGAGTTTGCAAAGAGGTCGATGGAATGGGGACCCCAACGTCGTTCTAAGATGCGGAACCACGGCGTCTTCAACGAGTAGTCGTCATGATCGACTGCTTTTGAGAGCTCATCAGCGTGTGAGTTTAGCTCGCGTGGGATCCATTCGATGATTAGACGCGTGCCGTGCTCCATGCATATCCGAATGATGGCTTGGCAGGCCGTGGTAAGGTCGGGGCTGCGCGAGCCACCTTTGCGAAGGATGAAGAAGACGCCCTGATTGTCCACCCGCACAAGAACATGTTTGTGTCTGATCTTGCTGGAGTATGTTTGGAGTGCCCAAAGCACTCCTTCGATCTCCCTCCGTGTGCTGGACGTCGCTCGCAGCGGCTCTGGCATTGTTGCGCTGGCTTCTTCGAGGCCGCCAGGGAAGGTGGTCAAAGTGGCGCCCCAACTGTGAGCGCTAGCATCCACATGGATTACAGCATCGTAGCTGTTTCGAACGTGAAACGGCGCACCGTTGAACCGATCAAACTCTTCGAGCCAGAAGTTTAGCTCCTCAGCCGCAGGTGGGGGGATGATAACGCTGCTTTTCCATGAAGGGAATGAACTCCAACCCACGGTTTTTGTAGTTGGAGAAGGGCGTTTAGCGCGCTTCGACGCTGCCAAATATTCGGTACAGGCAGCTTCTGTCAGAATCCCAGCCACTAACCACTGGGATAAAAGGGCTTGTTTGTGTAGCGGGTGAGTGCGCCCATAACCCCCCAGGCCGCCATGCCTGTAACCCTTCCCTAGAATCAATCGGGGATCACCAGTAGACCTCTGACACCCCCCCGCACTGGGATGCCCGAGGTGCACACACCGGGATTCGAACCCGAGACCTTCGCTCTGATACCATGTCAGAATCCCAGCCACTAACCACTGGGATAAAAGGGCTTGTTTGTGTAGCGGGTGAGTGCGCCCATAACCCCCCAGGCCGCCATGCCTGTAACCCTTCCCTAGGATCAATCGGGGATCACCAGTGGACCTCTGACAGCTTCGCTTTCACAATACACAATTTTGAAAAACATCAATGTGTTTAAAAATTATAATATTGAGAAAGCTTGCTTTCTTGTCCTTATAATTTGGCATCGTTCTCATTGTCCTTATACGCTCTGATTCTCAACAACAGGCAGATTCAATGGTGCGTGCTAACGATCAGTGCACTCGTGGACCCAAAGTAGACAATCATGTGTTTATATAACTGCTTAAAGTAGACACATACCAATACACGTACTTCAACACAGGACTTCATAACAGGCATAAAGAGAGCAGATATTAGGCAGGTCTTGGAGGTTAGGACCTGTCAGTCAAATACCGTAGAGGAGCATTGCTCAGCCTGAGCACCAAATATAGCTGCAATATTAGGTCTGTACAATAGCCAAACCGAATCACATGGTGCAGGTGCAGCATGTGTCAGAGAGCATGTTAGGAATCACCTACCGTGCTTTGCTGGTCAGGAATGAAATTACTCCGCTTGCTTCTGCAGAACCAGAAGGAATGCTCCTGCTATTGGCGCTGACGCTGCTGCTGGTGCCACTACTGCTGCCGCTGCCGCCACTGCCGCTGCCGCCACTGGTGCCGCCGCCACTTGTGTGTCTGTCCCATCTACCTGCGCTCTCTACAAGGGCCCTTGGTGCGGCACGCTGATAGCAATCCGCTGTGACTCACACCGTCGAATGAACGGAGAACTCCGCACAGCTCCCCGCCTCACCAAGTCCCCTGCCATGCCCCCTCTCGCACTCCCTCCCTCTCTGCCTACCTCTCCTGTTCCCCACACCTCCACTTCCTGACCTCTCCCACCATCTGCCCCTGTCTCTCTGCCTGTCCCCTGCCCCATTACCCTGTCCATGCTTTGCAAGCTGGCTAGCCTGCTCCTGCTGCTGCTGCTGCTACTGCCTCGCTCTGAATCGTCCGTCTGACACCGCCGCAGTGTTCGCAACCCCTGCCGCTGCTGCTGCTGCTGCTGCTCCTCCTCCTGCTCTTGCTCCCCCGCCTAACCCCCCTGACTCCGAGCTCCCCGCGGCTGCTCTCCCAGCTGCTTGCAGCCTCGCGAGTCGTGGCTGTGCGTTTGTGGAGAACCGAGGGGAGAGCAACGCAAGAGTGGAGATAGTCTGGGCCGTTTTGAACTTGCCTACGTGGCTAATGCGAGAGTCACCGCTGTCGGGAGTCGGAGGGAAAGGCGAACGGATCCCCTCCACACCCCCCCTGACTCCCTCTGCCTGCACTTCTCTCTTCCCACACCTCGCACGTAGACTCTCGACACTCTTGACAGAGTCACTACGGTGATAACCACTACCATCTACACTCCTGAAGCTCCCACCACCCGCACGGCCATATTCAGCAAGGTCAGAAGAACCAGCCTCCCCAGCATCGCTGGCGCATGCAATTCTCGCGGTCCCACCGCGCGCAGATTCTTGGACCCCAGCCTTGTCCTTCCCTGGGATTGCCAGTGCCTTGTCCCTGAACATGTGTCGCAGTCGCTCAGAGTTCCGCATCGATGCCCCTGCAACTGCTGCTTCCATCGCTGCTGCTTCTTCCGCCACAACACCTGCGGTGCCACCCGCTTCTCCCTGCAAGCTCCTAGGGCTAGAACTATGATGCTCTGAATCCCAGTGATTCCTAATCCGGCCATTAGGGGAGGTTATGCTGCTGCTGAAAAAAATCCCTTGTGCAGTAGAGGGCCGCTCGTTAAGGAAGTTACTCTTTGGAATAGGCCGGTCAAAAGATTCTAGCTGCCGAGTAGCTATGCCAGCTTTCTCGCGCACGTTACTCTTGGATCGTAAAATTCTAACCCCGTTAGTGGCACCGTGAACCCTGCTATGTGAGTGCACGCTTGTATTAGTCCGCGTGAAGCCTCTACCATATATGAGATTAAATCCTTGCTCTCGGCTGTTCCCGCTATACGTATGCCGCCTCGTCATATCCTCGCTCTCGGACTGGCTGTCACAGTCATGGCTGTCACAGTGAAGGTTGTTGCTGATCGCGCTGCCACCGCCGCTCGCGGTGGCGCTGGCGCTGCTTGTGCCGCTGCGTATCTCAATGCTCCGCATGCTCTGGCTGCTGTTGCTACTGCTGCTGCAGCTGCTGCCGCTGCCCTGCGTGCTCGTACCCACAGTATTGCCAACTTGACTCCCGGACGACGCGCCTGCGGGAGCCATGGCGTCGCTGCTCCTCCTTTCGCAAGGCTCCTTTCCCCTACCGTCATTCAAAGTCCCCGCATGTGCCTCCGCAACGACGACCTTCCCCACTTTCCCGCTCGTGCTTCTCTCCATCTCATATCCGCTGCAATCGCCCCCCCGTGTCGCCTCCTCCGCCCACCTGCCACTGCCTTGCGCGAACAACGAGCCGCCTTCCGAACCGTCATCCCTCGGGGATCCCTGTTTGCTGGGAGCGGTATGAGGAGTAGCAGGCTGTGGCACCACTAGGTTTTGCGCCGCCAGCGCAGGGCTCTTTGGAAGGCCTTGCGGACGGGGCGGCGCGACGCGTCTACCACTACCAGTAGCGGCACTGCTGCTGCTTGCTATCCCCGGGGAGTGAGGCGTAATCACGCTGACGTCCTCGGGCGATGCTGAGCTGGCAGTGGAGGAAGGCGAGAAGTAGCGCGACATGGCGGAGCTCACGATAGCGCGGGGGGAGGGAAGGGGGAGGTCAAGACGCCCCAGCCTCGCGCTGAACGCGCGCGCCTGCCTGCTCATGCTCCTTCCGCTCCCGCCAGCATGGCTGATGCTGCTCCGCGCGCTCCCGCCCGCGAAGGTCGGTTGGCTTATGCTGCGTTGGCTTCTCGCTGCGCTGCTATCCCTTCCCAGCCGGCCCGCGAGGACATTCCACTGCGTCCGCGTGCGCCTAAGATGCGTGTAATCCTCGTCTACGGACATCGGTTCCGCGTCACGCGGCGCGTTTCCGCTGGCTGACGCGCTGCGCGAAACCGTCCCCTGCGTCAAGCTGTCGGCGTTCTCGATGTCCGTATCATCCCTGTTGCTGCCACCGTCGAGCGAACCCGCGGAATCAGATTCCGCGACAGAAGCGAGCTGACAAGTGTTGGGACGACTTCTGGGGGTCGGCATACTGTCGAGCAGCGAGTTCCGGTTGTTACTGCCACTCCCGCCGCGAAGGGCGGCACTCGCAACGAGTCCCCACACTGCCGCGTTGTCTTCGGTATTCCTGCTGTGCTTCTCCCACGCGCTGACGGTGCGCGCCGCAAGCTGCGGTCGGCGTTGCAACGCGGGGCGGCGGAGGATCGGCGCGCACAGGAGCTTCCATGTGCGGTACGACTCCACCACCACGTGGTGCGCCTTCCAGGAATCTTCGAACCACGACGCCTCGGGCGCGTACCCCGCGGGGAATCCATGCGGGGAAGTGCCTTTCGCAAGCAGCGTAGACTTCACTTCCGCTGTTGAAGGGGCGTGAAAGGGGGAACAAGGGAGACGAGAAGTTACTGAGAGCTGTAGACATCATAACGGATTGGTGAATCAAGAACGACGTGCGAAATTCGGGCTCGCGATTTGTCCGTGCTAGGTGTGACTGCTTACCCGCGAGAGTTGGCGAAGGGATCGCGAAGCTCGTCGCGTCCACCCATTCCTGGACCTTCGGCAGAACCTTCGCCGCCAAAGAATCAACCTGATTCGCCAACACAAGCGGGTCGTGCGCTGCGATTACGATCAGCTTCCACGACACCTCGGATACCGCACTGGCGGCCGCAGTCAATCGCACAGGAAGTGCAAGGAGCGGCACCACGGGATACGCGTCGCCGGGGTCCTGCTGCTGCGTGCCCACGTCGATGGCCTCTATCGGCGCGTTATCGAAAATCACCAGCGGCGAGTCCGAGACTCCCCACGGCCGGAACAGCTCCGCCAGCGACGACCCGCTGGTGCCGCGGTTCTTGCCGCAATTGTCGCCGCCGGTTCCATCGTCACTGCTCGATATGCTTGGCTTGTCGGTTGAGAAGTGGGACTTGCCTGATGGCAGCGCGGTAGCTGGGCGACTCGTGATCAGATCACTAATGCATAATGCAGAGTTTGAAGGCCGCGCTTCAGGACTTGTAGTACTGCTCCCAACTACAGTTGGAGGAGGCGCTGTGCCAGGCCGGCGAACAGGCGACGGTAGTAACGAAGAAGTATTACTTGACGGAGACGGAACAGAGAGCATTGACGAGAACTGGTTGGCTGGCGCGACTCCTAGCGGGGTGATGGGAGGGGAGGCGAGGGAAGGATTCGAGGGAGACGGTCGCGACACGGGACTGAGAACGCACGTCTGCGGCAGAATACCGAGATTCCAGGGTCGCGGCTCGCTGTCGTCGACACGGAGTGTGCCGTCCAGCTCGAGCCGTTTACCGCGGCCAGTCAGGGATGTGGAGAAGGCGTCACCGTGCAGCAGTGCGTGTGACGACTTGGACGACGTGCAAATGAAAGTAACGGTCGGAGGCAGCAAGGTTTCGATGTGACCATCACGAGGGCTCGAGTAGGAAGCAGTATTGCTACTACACCTGTTAACCTCTGCTTTCGAGCTGGGCGAGACGCGTGTGGAAGCAGCACGTAATGCAATTTCTGTGAAAAGAAGAATGTCGTGCCATATGGAAACGACATGACCTCCTCGCACGAGGGGCAGCAGGCTTCCCTGAGGTGCGTCTGTGACGATCATTTCTTGAACCTAATTGCAGCTATGATCTTTACGAGCAGTAGCGTACTCTTTGTTTTGATGAAGACCACCTCAGTGAAGGTGGTCATGGCGGAGAGCTAACAGGAGAATGGGAGGTTTGGTGAAAATCCGCTGGTTTGCACGCCAACAATTTATGAATGGACAAAATGAGCAGACCTTAGTAGTGGCTGGGGTTCAGCCGAGAGAGCAGCTCGGTGTGCCACAACGGCGTGACATTTGGAGTTCCAACGAAACCCTTCCCGAACGCAAAAAACCGTGAACCAGCCGCTCTAGCATGCACAACATCTCACTCCACCGCAGAAATTGAACTCATGATGTCTCCAACACATAGATAAGAGCGGGTCCGAAGTGAACGTGACATCCGTTGACATCCGATGTCGGCTAATCCTGACGGTTGGAACTATTTATCCGAGGGTTGACATTTACCGACATCCAGCGTCATGCATTCGACGTTTCACTTCGGACACGCTCTGGGGAGCAATGTGAGTTACAGAGGTCAAGACCGTACGCATCGCACACTCGCGAGAAACTTTCATAAACTGCCAGCCACACCTGTAATCAGACCGCACCACCGTCCAAAATATCGACCGCGTGAGCCTGGAGAACGGTCCAGCCAAATGCAGGTAAACGCATGGACGAATGCCCAAAACTGTAAGCATAGTCCTCAGTTTGGCCCAGGTCCCAAATAAAAGTGTTGAAATCCCATCCGCCTACCCGCAGGATACCCTACTCCGTCCTATTTTCTCTCGAACTGACACCTACCGTCCATCCAAGTTCGGAAGAATCCTCTCCCCGCTGAGGATATTCCACTCAAGTCGATTACTTCCTACATATGTTCAACTGCCAAAGAACCCTTCACGCTAGCTTCTCTTTTACGTTCTAAGGAACAATTCTCCCGACCTCAGGTTGGCGGGACAGGGACAATCTTCCATCGGACCATGGTTGAGGAGAGATGGGTCAAATTCGTAACTTCTAGCTAAGATAGGGAGGAGGGAATGCTCTGGGGAGGCCTCATACTTGAATGAAAAATTAGGGAGATATCCTAACATAGCTGCAAACATCGCCCTTAGAATTCATCGCTGTACTGAAATCATTTCCTTCGGATCCAGGAGGGATGTTATCCGAAAATGTTCAGGGCACCAAGGGCATATGGCCTTGAATCGCCACGACTGCTTCCCAACTTTATTTGGCCGTTCGCGAGCGTGAAGTGTGCGGAAAAACATCCCTTTCAAATTGCGTTTTTTGGTGGATCATACACTCACACGCAGTACATCAACGGCAAATTCTCGAACTCAGCGTTTGACGTGTGTCTGTGATTTGGACAAACTCGGGTGGCTCCACACACACCAAATCAGTCTCACACCAGATTGCTTTGCGCTGTCCCTCCCCTCCCCAGCCCCTTAAAGGAGGATCTCCTCCGCGTTCTCCTCTCCACATCTTCCGTCAGTTTGTCGACATCCAAACCGCCGATACAGTACCCCGAAGAACGCGGTGCTGGGGAGGGGGAGTCACATCCCTATGGGTGTGGGACTGTACACCGCGCTGCACCCTATGACTTTCATCACGCGTGACATACAGTGAGTTACACTAGCCGATCGTTTTGGTCTCACTACCACGAAAGTATGAACTATTTAAACATCACGTATCACTCTGCTTGCAAAGCTCCCACACTAAATTCTGGGTAAAACATCTCAAGCGGTGCTTGTGCACTAAAGCAAGGGTAATTTGCAGAGGTGCTGAACGATTTTCAAAACTGTATTGCACCATGTATAAGTTAAAAAAAAACAATGTGGTTCATATAGAACCATTTTAGGAGATTATAACATGCAAATGAAGTTAAGAACAAAAAAAAAGTGGTAACTTAATATAATTAAATTTATGAGCAAAATCATAGTTCTGTAGAATGAGGAAAACAAGGCTCATAATAGACACGGATGATTCGAGACCATTTGGCATGATTTGTAAATAACAATTTTTTTCAATCTTCTATCATGATATAACATCTAATTTAGGAAACTAAAAATGCCATTTTATGTATTTAATGTTGTATTTGCTACTTTGCCGCCGGTGAAACTCTTGATTGATGATCCCTTTGTCTTGTAAACAGAATATTAATGTCATATTTCATAGTAAAGAGATGAAATAATGTTGCTGCATTTGTAAAAACAAGTTCATCGCTCGACGTTTTTACAGGATAGTTGAAGAGCGCATGTAGAATACATAATAAAATAGAATTCGTCACTTTCTGCGAAAAGTTGAGAAACATGTGTACCCCGAAGTTTGACCACACAGCCTCGAGTAATGTTTCTGCCGAATTTTCACCCTTTTCAGGCAAGTGCCGTCCGAAAAAACCATGATTTCTTGGGATATTTTTCCAATGAGCTGAAAGCCGAACCTGAATTTCACAAGCCCGCAGCCAACGGGTGCGAGCAGAAAACCACAAGACTCGCACCCCAATCCATTTTCTACATCTGGGGACATCCCCACCCCGACCCCCCAAACCGCCCCCAGCCGAGACCACTGCCCTGCCTCCACCCCCCTCCCTGCCTTTCTCCCTCCATTCCTTCCAACTCTCAAATTCCAGGTAAAAAAAAATTGCTAAGATCAGCGTGACGTATCGATTAATGCTTCAAAAATCTATCCCAACACTAGTGGGAGTCTGGACGTTCACATCAGTGAAAAAGGGCAGTGTGGGACTCGCACTTGCACAATGGCTGCCTGCCAAGTGGCCCTGCCTTCACTGTGTCGGCAGCTCACGCAGTGTGATCACACTCGCACCCCTGAGTCCCGATCCGACAACACCAAGAAACCAGGAGTCAGTCCACGTGATCAGCACACATGGTTTACTGTACAGTATCATCACAAACGTCCATGCAAGAAACAATACACCTTGTTTCTCGCAATAGTATGCTTTGCTATAAGGGATTCGCTGCTTGTGGAAGTCTCCACGTCCAGAAGCGCAATATCAACCAAGTTATAGTGGATTTCGCAACAATGCCATCCAGCATAGTGCGATGTGTTCTAGAGCATTCATTGAACATTCTGGAATGAGGCAAGGTCTTCAGGAGACGTGAAAAGTAGAACCTCCCTTAGTTCCTATGAACGGATACAGGCAAAATGGTGAATAATGCCAAGGAACAGTGATATATTTATGAGCTTTAGTGTAGCGAGAAATAATGTGTATATGAATCTTAGTGAAAAATGGGCTAAATTACGCGTACAATAACCAATACCGTATAGTGCCGGCTATAAGACCCACTGGTAAGGTGGTCACTCGGGACTCTTAAATGGGTAGAAAGACTTTTATTGTGGTAGGTATTGTTATGACCCCCGTTTTGGTAGTTGTTATTGCTATTGTGAGTCTGCGTTTACTGGCACAAATTTGAATTCTGACATGTTTTTTGTTATCATTTGAATTCTAACGCGAAACTGACGCGCCGCTCCCGCAAAATTTGCGCACGAAAGCTGTTTTTCGCTACAATTAAAAGACTCCCCACCCCAAGTGAAGCCGTGCACCCTAAATAACAGTTTGATTGTCTATAGATAAATGTACCCCGGGTCTTAAATATTTTTTGTCGTGTCTATCCAAGCATTTATTAATGCATTTGTAGAGAGTCCCCTGGTTCCTATAGTTGGCACAATACGGAACATTGAGGCGCGAAGGTACTGAGACTGCAGATACAAATTGTATCTACGGGAGAATAGTACCGAAAGAAGCATGCTTGAGCGAGTGATCCGTATTGCAGCTGATTGAACTGTTAGTCGGGTCAAGACATCGGCGATGTTATTTGCGCCTTTTTGTAGGTGATGCGACAGTAAAAATGCGACTCCATGTGGTAAGCACTCGGCCTAGAACGAACATTTTAGTGCTGACACATTTGACACAAGGGCCCACGTTATCAGGGCAAAACATCCTGATTACCCTGAATTCAGGATGCACTTCTGTATTTACCCTGCAATTTCAGAATAGTCATAATTTTAACCCTGAGGTCACAGGATGTTTTTATGTGAAATGCCCTGGAGTTTCAGGATGGCCGTAGTGTTCTTCCCTGTAGCGTCAGGATGAATGTCGAGGCCTGCCCTGACGCGGATTTTGGTGGGGGGGGGGGGGGGGGGGGGGGGGGGGGGTGGGGGGGGGGGAGGTAAGGGGGGGTGTTCCGTTTCGGGGGGGAATTTTTTCCCCGAGGATTTTTGTCTCCGTTGAAATTTTCCCCCGTGTACGTTTCCCGCCTTCGCACGTTCTCTTCCCCTTGACATTTCCGATCCCCCGCTACACCAGCCAAGCCAACCCCACCCCATCACCCACCGCCAAGGCAACTCGTCCTCTGCCTGGCTAGCTCTAGCTGGGTTTCTCACGCTGACGTTCAGTAGCACTCCATCCAACACCCTTGCAGTGTTGCTGTTAGAGTAGCAGCAGCACTAGTAGTGAAGTTCGGCTGCGGCTGCTCTGCTATGCTAAACAGAGTCTGGTCTGGTCTGTTTGTGATAAA